GAAGGAAGGAAGGAAGGAAGGAAGGAAGGAAGGAAGGAAGGAAGGAAGGAACAGACTTATACTAACTTATACTAACAGTAAGTAAGTCCAAAAGCACTCATCTGAACTACACAGACATTCCTAACACATTCCTTTTTAACTAAAAGACACTGCATTTTCCAGCTGTTTCCTTTTGCAGGTTATCTTGCCAAGCCCACACTTCTTTCTGGGTTCCAGTCATTGGCTTTGATCCCTGTTTGTGACTCATGTAGGGAAGCACCTTTGTGGCCAATGTCACCCTAGGCCCATCCTCCAATGTTGGCAATTTACCTTTGGTATAGGCAGGGTTTTTTTCTTTGATTTTTTTTTTAAAGCCAGAAATCTGAGTTGGTGGTTCACCGAGAGAGCCCACAGACCTTTGCTTTGAAGGCCTAGTATAATACCTAAGGCCTGGATGGAGAGAGACCTTAGAGGAGGATTGGTTGTTTTGTAAGCAAAATGTTAAGAATGTGTTTTCAAAACAGAATGTTTAAAAGGGGATGAGGCAGCTGCGGTTCCTCTTTCTTTGTGGCAGATCTGAAGTAGAAGAAAGAAGTCCTTGAACCCATACTCTCCCCATCTATTTACTGACTCTCTCAGGCTCCCCCACCCCCACCCCCCTGCCTCCCCGGCCCCTGGGAGCCCAGGTCAAATGGCCAATCAATCCAAGTTAAACAAGTTATTTGCTTCAAGAAGAAACAAAGAAAAGCAACCTTTCTTTCTAACCACTCAGCTGAGCCAATGAAACCGCTCCCCCTCCTCCCTGCCCCTTCCTTTCCCTTGTTTGCTGTGCTGTTGACAGTCAGCTCAGTCCAACAGGACAGCAACAGAGTGGTGACTTCAACAGAAAGAACAGGATAATGTTTAAAAGCAACAGACAGTGGGGTCAAAGGGCAAAGGACCAGACCAAGATCAAGGGACATAGATAACTAGGGTCAATGCCTACACTAACCTCTGGTGACCAGGAAGATGGCGAGGATGAGGAAGCAGCACAGCACACTGGGCCCCAGCCACCCAGTCAGAGTTGCAGAAACTGCTGGCGCAGTAGCTTACCCAGCTCAGCAGAAGGTCCTCCAAGGATTCTCTTTGGAGACCCTGGAGGTGCAGAAACCGGATGTAGCTGGCCAGTACAAGTTGAGGGAGCTGGAATCCCAGTGCCCTGCTACTGCTCTGGAAAAGAGAGTTTTACTGTATCTTGGCTGGGCGAGGCTGTCTTAGGGACAGTTGGAGTTGTCTGAAGAGAAGGCACAGGTTGCAAAAGCAGGCTCTTCATTTGAGAGAGCTGGTTGATTCTTGCTCAGCCATGTTTAATAGGAACCAGAGATAGAAACCAAGATAATGGAAGAGGCAGCCTTTAATGTGCGCTTCCTGAGGTCCTAGCCTTAGCGTGCAGAGGTTAGGAATGGAGACAAAGCTGTTGTGCAGGTAGTCTGTGTGGGAGGTGATCATAAGAAACAGTGGTAGGAAGCTGATAGCGCGTGCAGTGCATTGTTGCACAGAACTGCACAGTGGGCAACTAGGCTCAACATTTCCTGTGAACTCCAAGGAATCCTGGAGAACAGTTTATCTCTCCCAGGAGGAAGGGAGGGGCAGTCTGTCAGTTCTTGCAAGCCATCATCTGGGGATTTTCCAGAGGTTGTGACTTTCTGGGGCTTTTCTTGACCATGTGGACTCTAAAGTCCAGAAAGAGCCTCCAAAGAGGGCAGAGGGCAGTGGTTAGAGACATTCTGGTTAGTGTGCATGGCAGAGGAGCGTGGCAGAGTACTGATCAGCAAGTCAACTTGACATTCCATTTAGAAACCCTAAGGCTCCCTCCATGGAAGTCCTCAGTCTCACTGGTCAAAAGCACACTCCTCCTGTGGCATCCTTGTCACCACCTCCTCTGTCTGCTTGGGTGGGTTTTCCTGTCGGCTCAGGGAATACATCTCATGAGTTTTTGTACAAATCCAGGCTTACAAGGCAATGAAATATAGATTACAGCAGTCTCCGAAGGCAGCCAAACATCTAGTTAAAATGACGGAGGACATGACCTCAGTGGGCAGCCATGGGGCCGCATAGACCTACATGCCAAGTTCATAGTTTCTGAGACTGTGGTCTTCTGACAGTTTTGACTCATGTTTTACATAATCATCTATTGTCTTAATTTGTAGCATTTCTTTGAAACTCACCCGAGGGCATGTTCTTTCAGAAGCTCAATTACATGCAGTTGGTTGTCTGACAACCTCTTGGCAAACAGTTTTTGCGAGAATAGGATTTGCGTTTTGACAGGCAGGAGGACACAGCTGATTCTCAACAGGTGCCTCTGGGAGGGCACTCTAGGTGAGGAGGGAAAACCATGCTGGAAATTTCTTGGGAAATACAGTATAGTGATTAGTGTAGATATCGAAGTGCCCAGGGTTCCTTTCTCTTTTAAAGATTCCCCCCCCCCCCCCATATTTATTTAGTTACTTCTATGTATATGGGAGTTTTGCCAGCATGTATGTGTACCATGTGAGGGCAGGGTCTGAAGAGACTGAAGAGGATGTCAGTTCACTTGGAACTAGAGTTACAGATGGTTGTGAGCTACCACATGGGTGCTGGAAATCGAACCCAGACTCTCTACAAGCAGCCAGTGCTCTTAACCACTCAGGCATCTCTTCAACCCCTTAAAGATTTATATTGACATGTATGTGTGTGACTGTATGAATGTATGCTATGTGTGTGGGGATTAACCTGCAGAAGCTAGAAAAGGTCATTGGACATCCTGAAGCGGGAGCTACAGGCAGTTGTGAGTCACTCAACATGAACCTATGTTGGGTCTCCTAGAAAATCAGCAAGTGCTCTAACCACTCTGCCACCTCTCCAACCCCCAGGCCTCCTTTAAAAAAAAAAAAAGCTATGTTTTTATTTTAAATAGACACCCAGTAATTTTTATTTATGGCTTTGGTGTGCACTGTCCCCCACAGGGTCTTGGGTTTGAATCCTGCCTCTCCAGTTGGTGATGATGTTCGGGAAGATATACGGTCACACAGTCACATAACCAGCACCAGCACCTAGGTGCAGACATTTCTCATCTGGCACAACTGAAACTCTGATTTATTGAACACCAGATCCCTGCTCCACCCTGTTCCCAGCCCTGCCAGCTTCTATTCTGCATCCTGTGCCTATGGACTCCACAACTCTAAGTCCCTCATGGGAGTGGTCTCCTGAAAAATCTCTGTTGTTTTGAAACTAGCTTATTTCACGCCCCATCATATCCTAGACATTCACCTATGCCATCGAATGCCTCAGAATTTCCTTCTTTTGTAAAGAGGCTTACTCTAGCTCAATGCAGCCCCATGGTCTTGATGAGCAGTAAGCCCATTCTGCTCAGCAGCTGTTAAACCTGGGCAAGCATATTCAGACTTGGATAAGTCTTTGTATTCCAAATTTGTATCCTGAGGGGCTGAGAATCCCACTGTGGCTTTTTGTTGTGCTTTGTTTTTAATTACAAACTGAGTGATTTGGAAATGCAAAATGTAAACCTTTCAGAATGGCAACAGGGTGCCACAAATGCCAAATTCCTCCACTGGGATTTATCTGGGCACAAAATTATTAAAAATGTATGCAATTGCCTCCAATTTATGTTCAATGAAGTGCATATGAAGCAGGAATAAATTTTGCATTTTGGCTTGAGTCTCATGCCTCAGATACCTCATCACATTTATGCAAATACCTCTAACTTGAAAGCAAAGCACCTGAAATTCCTAACATTTCAGGTGTAGGTTTATCTAACACGCACTATTTGTTTTTGATGACAGTGTAACATACATTCCATGAAGCTTACTAACTTACCAATTTCCTCTTGTTGAGTTGAGTAGCGGAGCATGCTGACTGAGAATGCTTGGGCCAGCACCACCCCAGCACACAGGCAAACAAAACTCCACTTTACCAAGCAGCCCCTCCCTACAGACGTTTCCTGAGCCCACTGTCTCTAGCTAGTTTTGTCTGCTCTGCTACACAGCGAAATCACCTGGAACCACCCACTGTTGTTTACCTGGAATCGTATCAGTTCACAAATAGCTTGCTGCAGACAGCCTGTTCCTCTCTGTCAGAACAGCATCGGGATGATCATCATGAGTGTTTGCACAAGGATGTTGTCAAGATTTCCATGCTCCCAAACAAATGTGGCTACGAGTGGGTTGTGCCAACAGCGCTCTTGCTGCTGAGAGGGATCATTTGTCTCAGTGGGGTTTTGGAAGAAGTCACGCAGAATAGTGGGAACCTCAGAGAACATCTAACAACAGACCAGCGCATCTGGCGTGTGCTTTCTGGTCCTTTTCTGTGGTGAGGAGAACGTCATCCCAAGCTAAGATAACGTCACAGTTTCTGGGTTTCCTTAGCAAGTTGGACTGTGTGCAGCTCAAATGTTCACACCCACATTGCTGGATCAGACACTGTCCACAACTTTATTTAAAAATATTTAAAAATATTTTAAGCTATTCATAAAGCTGAAAGAATCCAGTTAAGTCTCAAACCCTGGGACAAATGGCTGAGGTGCCTATTTAACTTATCAAAGTGGACCTGGCCTCCAGGTTCTCCCAGCATATCTAAGTCCCAACCTGTTAGTAGGTATGGCTGGCATACTCTGCCCTCTACCCCAGACTCTTCAGTGCTGGGCTGCCCCCAGACTCTCCAGCGCTGGGCTGCCCTTCCCCCAGAGGCTCTTCCCTATACAATCCAGCCATTTTGATTACCAGTCTACATTTTTACCTCATGTCCACTTGCTGCTGCACCTGGTCCCCCTCCCTCCCCACTCCTCCCTCTCACTCCTCTCTTCACATGACTCAGAGTCTGTCCACTCTCCCAGATGTCCCTGCCTCTGGCTATGCTCTCCCTTTTATCTAAAATAAGCGGTCTCCTCCACCGTCCCTAAAAGATCAATCACGTCCTATCCTGTTCATTTCTTTTTTTCATTCAAATCCAAGTATTCAAAGGATCACAGGGTGTTCTGTGTGAAAGTTCAAGATTGTCTGTGTGGAGAGAGATTGCTTTCAAAGCAAGAATGGCCTTTGTAGGCTCGCTGGCTTGAGCTGGGCATCTTTATTGAGTATTAACTCACTTCTTTCTCATAAAAGTCCTGGGCTACTTACTAACTGCCTTCCTGCTTCCCAGGGGAGAAACAGGACAAAACATTCAGTAACTTCTTTAAAATCACTCAGCTGTAAGCCATGGCATGGGATTCGAATTCCAAGTATCTGGTTCTAGACTTGGAAGCTCTGTAAACCATCCCTATTGTTCCTGATTCCTCAACAAAATGCTGTGTATTTATTAGATTGACTGTTCAAGAAAGAAAACCTTTTAAGAATGCTCTCGTTTGGATCTGGAACATTCTTCACAGATTTGTGCTTTTAAATATTGGTCCTTGGGTTGTGGCACCATTTGAAAGCCGTGGGTACTTTTAGGAGGTGTACTGTCTGGTTTTGTGTGTCAACTTGACACAAGCTGGAGTGAAAAGAAAAGAAAAGAAAAGAAAAGAAGAGAAGAGAAGAGAAGAGAAGAGAAGAGAAGAGAAGAGAAAAGAAAAGAGCCTCCCTTGAGCAAATACCTCCATGAGATCCAACTGTAAGGCATTTTCTCAATTAATGATCAAGGGGGAAGTCCCAGCCCATTTGTGGGTGGTGCCATCCCTGGGCTGGTAGTTCTGGGTTCTATAAGAAAGCAAGCTGAGCAAGCCAGAGGAAGCAATCCAGTAAGCAGCACTCCTTCATGGCCTCTTCATCAGCTCCTGACTCCAAGTTCCTGCCCTGTGTGAGTTCCTGTCCTGACTTCCTTTGGTGATGAACAGCAATGTGGAAGTGTAAGCTGAATAAACCCTTTCCTCCACAACTTGCTTCTTCATTATGATGTTTTGTACAGGAATAGAAACCCTCCCTAAGACAGAAGGTAAAGTTTGATTGACAAAATAGGGGAGATCCTAGGGGAGACAATCCTCTGAGGATCGTAGTGGTTCCTGTGGCTTGTGTTTCTGAAGCCACTATATAGTCCTCCTCCAAGGGTTGAGTCTATCCAGTACGGCTCCTTGATGTAATGCCCAGAAGCTACTGAACCTGAGCCAAGTAAGCCCTTGTTTCTTTGAGTTGTTTATGTCATGTATTTAGTTGACACATCACAAAAGTAACAAATGCAAAGACTGATAATACAACTTTATTTTAATATTTCAGTATCCCTGGTACTTAAGGAAACTCATGAAGAAACCGTTCTCATAACTGCTTTTCAAAGTAATGGAGGAGAAATCTGGAAAGCAAAACTCGTCTTTGTTACAGATGATTGGGGGAGAAAAGGAATCAATTCATCTAATCTGATTATGAGTGAGAGATAATAAAAGTATTTAAGTCTAACAAGTAGGAAATAGCACAGTGGAGACCACTTTGATGGCCTGGAACGTATGGAGTCAGAAATGAGACACAGAGTAAGGACTGTTCTCAATAGAATACAGGCGACATCGTCTCTTTATGAGACATGGCTTTGGGATGACTGCTGAAGAAATGGCACTAAACAGAGGACTAGGCACACAAGTGACAACATGAACGAGAAAAAGCATTAACGGCCTTTCCTTGCTGCTCATGGTATCTGAATACCTTCTATACTTTGTTTGTTTTTGAGTCAGAGTTTCTCTATGTAGCCCTGGCTGTCCTGGGAACTCACTATGTAGACCAGGTTGGTCTTGAACTCTCAGAGATTCTCCTGCCTCTGCCTCCTGAGTGCTGGGATTAAAGGTTTCCACTACCATGCCCAGATTACCTACTGCTTTATAAGATAAGCAAATTTAGCGTAAAGAGCCTCTCTACTTTGTACTCAGTATCTGACAGTGGATTCTCCAAGTCTCACGAAGAGAGGACAGCTGGTTGCCTGGCTCCCAACCACCTATCAAACATTCAGATCTGAATTACATTCTCCACTTCACTGCAAAAAGCAAAGGATTCCAGTCAGCTGGGGCTCTGGACAAGGCGGCCATGTGATTCAATGACAAGAATATTGGATGATTGTGCACAAGGAGGCAGAGCTGTGGTACATGAGTGGATGAAGGTGTGGTAGATTCAGAAATGATGACGATGATGGTTTAGGGAAAGGAGACAACAGATCATGATGTCAAAAGAGGAAATGGAGAGAGGCAGGAGGAGAAGGGGATGAAGAAAGAAGAGAAAACAAAAGGAGGAAAAGGGGGAGAGACAAAGGAGAAAGGGGAGGGAAGGGAAGATAAGATACGGTGTTGGAAGGTCTAAGACAGGGGAATTGTGTAAATGGGTCTAACATCGGTATAATTAATCTTGTTTTTTTTAATACCCTAAAGCAAAACAAAGCCATAAGCTAGAACTAATAATTATTACTCAAGACAAGTTTCTTGAACTACACATTTGGAAACTACACATTGAAAGCTACCTTAGTCCTGAGATTATCAACTCAGAGTGACTAACAATGAGACAGATCAAAGAAGTTTTAAAACATAAAGAAGGAAAAGAAGTCTTTCAAGCAAGAGGCAAAATTCCAGTAAACACATTTGATTCTCGTTTGTGTCGCCAGAAGAAAACAGTGTGGTATATTTCAGAAGGCCCCTTACTGAGGACTGTTCTAGAAGACAAGCTGGAGACATTTACATTGGCTAAGCACATAGTGACAATTAGGGATGGTGATGAGCTCCCAGCATGCAGTTGCTTTATCCTAGAGATTCAGAGGCTGATGAAGAGCCAGGGCAAGGCAATGTGGACAGGGAACAGCCATAAAATGGGGAAAACGGGGAGAGGCCATCAGGTTTAAACAGCTTTCTGAAGGGAAGACTTGGTGCTAGGGTGTGGTGCCTCTTACTGAGATCTTGTGGGTCACATGTATGATGTCACCTTTGCCTGTTTCCCCACCGGCTGCCAAATCTGCCAACACTGACCTTTTACTTTTTGTTATCAAGATTGCTTGGTAGCTAGCTTCCTTCCTTCCTTCCTTCCTTCCTTCCTTCCTTCCTTCCCTCCTTCCCTCCCTCCCTTCTTCCCTCCCTTCCTCCCCCTCTCTTCTTCCTCTTCCATTTTTCTAGTAGCTCATTCAGGAGACCTAACTCTTTAACGATACCACTCCTTGAATTCCCTGAGCTTAGATTCTGGGCAAAGGGGATTTGGATTCCATTACCATCCCCACATTTCTAACTTCAGTACATCTCTAAATCTGGAAGCATCGTTACCCTCCACTGTTAAGGACTGTGCTTTACCAATGTTTGAATGCATGTCTGATGGGGGCTATTACCACCACTGTTGAACTTGTCCCTTTCCAACTTGACAGTTAACAGGATTAACACATCACTTCACTAAAATATTCCACCGAGGAAAGTCCAGATGCTGTACATGTAAATGTATCAGTTCCTGGGCTCCCTTCTGTCCACGAGGAAGCATTGGTTATTTGCCATTCAGAAAGACTTGTCTTATCTTTCTCCACAACACATCCTATTAGACAACTGTTATTGTTAACATGTTGGTCAACTTGTTGGCAGCAAGGACCTTGTCTGCTGTGCTGTCTCAGATGGCTGGCACCAGTGGTCAATAAGCATGTGTGAGATGACAGGTGAGCTGCCTTCAGACAGTGTCACTGGAGTGTGCTCCTTGGGAAGGCCCCACTAAGTGCTAGGCTTTATCTCAGACATCTGTAAGGAGA